GAATTATTATTATTAATTTTTTGCTACAATTTAACAGCAATTTATTAAAAGTAAAAAAAACAAACAAACAAAAAAAACATTACGGCCCTATGAAATACGTTTTATTTTTACCAAATTCTGCTTATCCCTTTTTAATATTTGTGGAATCCATTTTTTATTTTAATGGTTTGATAAAATTGTAACAATCAAAAACACATGTAATTAACTGAATTGATAAAAACTACTTAATTTATTATTTATTTTTACAACAATAGTGTTTTGTTTTTTTTGTATACTCAGTTGTGTATTTTTCTGGCAGTCAAATGAAGGCAAAAAAGCATTCATTTAATTTCTCTTTTAATCAAATGAAAATTAAACAAACTCATTTTTGTAAACAAAGTGCTGCACAAAAGAGATTTACTTTTAAAATTAAAACATGGAAGAAAAATTGTGATTATTTCTTAAATGAAGAAATAATTAATAATTAATATTAATTTAATAATAGTATTTAATAATAATTGTATTACTACATGAAGTATAACATGAAGATGTACATTCTACTGTACAATAATAATACTTCTGTAACAGTTTCTTCAAGTTAAACTGAAATTCTGTGACATTCCATGTTATAAATTCCATTTTTATGACTGATTCCGTCAACGTTTTCGCAAATCAAAGGACCTTAAATATTGCACCCAGAAACACTGTAATGTCAAGAAAAACACCAATAATTGAATGTCGGGTCACTGATCACAGCAGCCACAAAAACAAGCACATCAGACGAGCCGCTGACCCGCGACGCCCCGAACCATTCAGCAGCAAACTCATCTGATGAAGTGAGGAAAGCACAGCCGTATGTATTAGATTAGAACAGCTTATCCAGCAGCGCTGCAGCATGAACAGAAAGAGAATTTACTGCAGCACCTTTGAAAGGAAGATTTAAATGCAGGCTGATTCAAAGCTCGACAGCAAGCTCTGACTGTACCGTCCGTCTCAAAGCGGATCTCTTTACAGCTCCGACTGCTTCAATAGCACAACATAACCACAAGGCTTTTACATGTCCCAAAATCTTTCAGAGCTCAACTGCATGCCTACCTGTTCTCACATTATGAGGAGGATTGAGAAAGGATTCTCCTGTTAATATTACAATGCGGACAGGTAAAGAATATATATATATACACACACACACACACATACACACACATTTAATATATAAACATTAATAATATAAATATTATTGTTTTATAATTGTAATATAATAATATATTATGTAAAATATAAATGTATTATATTATGTAAAATAAGTAATAAGTATATAATTATAATAATATAGTCATTAAAATATAATTATAAATATTTACTATATAGGTCAACTAATTTTTTTCCAAATATTTCTGCTAAATATTTTATAATGATTGCATTATATAAATAAATAAATAAATAAATAAATAAATATATATATATATATATATATATATATAAAACAAAAACAAACATAAAATATTATATTTTATTATATCATAACATAAAATAATATATGTATTTATGTGTATATAGACTTTTGTTAATATATAATTAATATTAATATTTGTATTTATATATTACATATATTCATTTTAAATACTATTATGTAAAATACAAATAATTATTATATAATATAATAATATCATTATTAAAATATACATATAAATATTAAAACATTAAAATTAACATATATTTACTATATAGGTCAACCACAACTTTTTTACCTTTTTTTTATATTTAACAAAATATATATATATTTTTTTAATCAACAGCATGTCACTTTTCACTTATTAAGCCAGGAATGTTCCTTTGTAATTTGCAAACCTATAAATCTGTGAAATAAAATCACTGAGGGTCTCGGAAGGAAACAGAAAATCCCGGGAAACTATAAAGAGACATAAAAATAAAACGTTTGCTGGCTCCAGAGAATTTCAAAGCAATCATATCAGCAGACGTAAGTGAGCACGAAAGTCAGAGAGAATCTGAGATAATGAGAGTCTGAACGCGTCACTCACTCGCCCATCCATGTGGCGTAGCTCTCCGGCAGCTTGGGAACAAACAGGATGGATTTCTTGGAGTTGACATCGATGGCGCCGTAGCAGTCGGCCTCCGTCACACCGAAGGTCCAGTGGAAAAACGACTCCTGCAGAACAACATGAGTTAGCGCTACATCCACCGATTAAACACCCAGCCATCAACGAGATCTTGTACGACGAGTTTTGTGATCTACAACACACTGAACTCAGTGAGAGGTTCAAGAGCCTCTTCTGTACATAATCATCCAACTACACAGATCTGAACAGCAACAAGTGGCTTATTTCCATACATACACACTATCCATAATGTGTAACCCTGTTTCTATGGGCCGTATTCCTGCAACGAGCCATAACAGAGAGGATTCAGTGTTATTAATACTGATGTTAATAATGTCACATCTGTCACAACTGGAGATACTATTTTCCTTATGAAAGCTGCTTTTTGTGCTTTGAAACCTACACTATGCAAGTATGTGAATATGAACCATGCAAGCATCATTTTATGCATTGCTGTGCCACAAAATTTGCAAGACTGCAATTCATAATGCAACAAACTGCACACAATGCACTTTGCACACATTGCAAAGGTCTTCTTCTACTGTCTGTTTTCTTTTCAGGTTAACTATTGTCATGATTGAGCAACAGTTTGAAGAGAATCTCACCGAGCTAACTAACAAGTAAATAAGATTCAGAAAATTATGTCAGTAAAAGTTGAGGAGAGAAAAAATTAAGTTCAAAGAAAAGTCTTATAAGTGCCATAAGAGTAGATGTTTAAATAACACATTTCATTTTTTACAAACATTTTCCAGATATTAATAATTAAGAAATTAAATATATAATCATTTTAAAAAAGCTTATATAAATAAATAATAAATAATGTAAAAATAAATAACAAATACTTTTTTTTTAAATGATACAAAATATTTTAAAAAGATAAAATAAATAATAATTTAGTAATTTAATAATTTCAAAATATAATAAATAATTAAATTAATTAAAATAATAGATGTAATATATATTTTAAAAAATATTTCTAAAATATAACAAAAATAATGTAAAAACAAACTGTAATCATTAATTTTTGTATTTTTAAATTTTTAAAATGATTTATTTTTATTATTTTTAATTTTCTTTTTATCATTCATTTCATTTTACATAATAAATAAACAAATAATTCAAAAATGAAATGTATAATACATTTAAAAGTGAATGAATGAATGAATCAATAAATCAATCCATAAAATCAAAAGTTTGAAATTTGCTGCAAAACTTTCTGTACTTGTGTTGGACTCATGAAAGTTCTCGGTTGAGTGGCTGTGTTGAATTTCTTTGCATTGCATTTCAGTAACAGTATCTTGTCTTTCCAGTTCAACATCTTGTAGGCAGCGGCCAATTTAATTCAAATTCAGACTCATGAATAAAAAGGAGGCCATTCTTAGTCAGTCTTCTCTGCAGTGAGATCTCCAGCCGAGGCTAAACGCTTGGCTTTCTAACATGATCAGATAAGCGCACTATCTAATCCACGGAGGACGAGTCGTTTGTGCTCGAGTCATTTTATTGTCTTGAGTGTATTGCAGAGTTCACGTGCATTCAGTACGGATTGCATAATGGAGCAGTAAAATAAAATCACCGCAGGATACGCGTAAACTCGCACGCACTTATTAACAAGCACAAATTAGAAAAGTGCCACGCATTTTATTCAAGTTACAAACGTGCACGTTAACACTTCAAAAAGAAGAAACTACAACACAAGACAAGCAAATTAATGGTTATGAATTATTTACAGTTAAATTATGATGAAAGTAGGAAGCCCTCAAGCAGTAAACATCACAACACTAAATCGCAAGACTCGCTCCATGAGATACCGGCGCGCAATCTCTGCCAAACAACACAGGATGTGCCTGTTTTTGCAGCTAATGAATGAGAAACACGCTGCTCATTATGTTCAATCAACTTATGTAAATGCAGTAAATTAGGGGGCTCTATCAGACACCCAACCGTAGCGCTGAAATAAAAGGCCTGAACTCACGCGCCTCTTGCCAACACTAATTACCATTTAGCATAGCATAAACAAGAGCACCACTTATGAACGAGTATAATGGGAAGACAAACACTCAATAATCATTTCGAAACAAAAGAAAGGTCACTGACACATTACCCAATGATGCATGCAGCATTTTTTTGGTAACTGTAATGACGGTGCATAGAAAAAGTGCATCTATTAGTAATTTTGTTGTGCGTTTGTCATTTTTAGTAAATTTTTATTATATATAGTACATTGTAAGTGTGTATATATTGTCACGGTCAAAGTTTTGTTGTTCATTTGTGGGTATTGTGTGTATATATTAATTTGGTTCCTCTCTTTCTCCCGAGGTTGAGCTCCGCCCACACACACCTGCAGCTTGTCGAGTAAGGACGCTCTGGACTGAATATAAGGCGGAAGTTGCACTTGTGTTGAGAGCCTCTCCCTGCCCCATCGCCTGTCCGCCACAGCGAGTTCCACGCTCTTTGAGATTGAATCGCACTTGAGAAGCTACTGCCGTCCAGCCATCGACGTTGGAGAGCATCCAGTGAGGTTTGTGCGCGTCTTACTGTCTAGGGTTTTCTCTCTCTCTGTGTGTCTTTAATGTTTCTGTTGGTCTGTGTTTTGTTCGTTTACTGAATATCTATTGAGGTATTTTTCTTTAGTTTAACTGATTTAACTCTATTACATCTGCCATTGGTTAACTAACGTGGTTAACTCGCAAGCTGTTTGACCCTTAATAAATGGTTAAAATGTATCTCCTGTCTTGCGCGTCCTTTTTATGTTGCTTAACCCCTTCTTGAGTGAGTCTTTTAAAAGTGGGGTTCATAACAAATATATATATATAGATCTCACAGAAGTGAGTACACCCCTCACATTTTTGTAAATATTTTATTATATCTTTTCATGTGACAACACTGAAGAAATGACACTTTACTACAATGTAAAGTAGTAAATGTACAGCTTGTATAACGGTGTACATTTGCTGTCCCCTCAAAATAACTCAACACAGCCATTAATGTCTAAACCGCTGGCCACAAAAGTGAGTACACCCCTAAGTGAAAATGTCATGTGACTGATTAGTGTTACAACGTCTCCAGTGTGAATGGGGAGCAGGTGTGTTAAATTTGGTGTTATCGCTCTCACTCTCTCATACTGGTCACTAGAAGTTCAACATGGCAACTCATGGCAAAGAACTCTCTGAGGATCTGAAAAAAAGAATTGCTGCTCTACATAAAGATGGCGTAGGCTATAAGAAGATTGCCAAGACCCTGAAACTGAGCTGCAGCACGGTGGCCAAGACCATACAGCGGTTTAACAGGACAGGTTCCACTCAGAACAGGCCTCGCCATGGTTGACCAAAGAAGTTGAGTGCACGTACTCAGCGTCATATCCAGAGGTTGTGTTTGGGAAATAGACGTATGAGTGCTGCCAGCCTGTCAGTGCTCAGACCATACGCCGCACACTGCATCAAAAGAAGATGATGCACAAGAAAGCCCGCAAACAGTTTGCTGAAATATAAAAAAATATTTACAAAAACGTGAGGGGTGTACTCACTTCTGTGAGATACCGTATATATATATATATATATATATATATATATGTGTGTGTGTATAATTAAGACTAAAATTAAATATATATATTTTTTATTTTAGTCTTAATTAATTATAATAACCCTGATCTGAGTTAACATAAGTTAAAGGGATAGTTCACCGAAAAATTTAAATTTGATGTTTATCTGCTTACCCCCAGGGCATCCAAGATGTAGGTGACTTTGTTTCTTCAGTAGAACACAAACTGAGATTTTTAACACAAACCGTTGCAGTCTGTCAGTCTTATAATGTAGGTGAATGGGAATCACGGCTTTGAAAGTATACAAAAAAAACACCACCACCTCTCTCTCAAATGGACCATTAGGGCCTTTCGCACGGCAGGAACCTTTTCATAGTATCAGAACTAATTGTGGAACTACCCACTTTTTGGCGTTTTCGCACCGCCGGAACTGGGAGCGATTTTAGTACCGGACTGCCTTTTTCGAGAACCAAATTAGCTCCTACTCCGGAGCAGGGTCTAACCAGCACAACTGGTACTAATCGTGACGTAAGTAGACATTGATTGGCCAAACGCGTATGAAAACGCCCTCACCCGCCATGATTTTAAACGCCGTGTAAACATACTGTAAACATTGTGTCAATTTATTTTAAGTATGGAGAACAGCGATAGATGGACGGACGCTGAAGTGCAAGCACTTGTAGCATTGCTAGTTGTCGTTGGAGATTCTTAGTCCTCCTTTCCGTTCTTTCAATCACTTTACGTATACGTCGACTTTCCATGTCCATTATTGTGAAACCCGCGAGACAGCCTGGTCTCATGTTTATACGTAGGTATTAATGCGTAACATTTACAAGCACAAAACGTACAATTTTGAATATTTTTAATCATGCTAAAACTTACAATTTAGACGTATTTCAACGTTTAAAACGTACAAATCGCTACGTATTTTTAGCTAAAAAACTTAAAAATATTTACGTATCTTTTATATCATTTAGATATTCATATCAATGCATTTTTATCATTTTATTAATAAGCGATTTCGATTTTTAGACCCCTTAACCTGCCCCCAAACCTAAACCTACCCATTTTATAGCGAATATGCATTTTTATCATTTTATTAATAAGCGATTTCGATTTTTAGACCCCTTAACCTGCCCCCAAACCTAAACCTACCCATTTTATAGCGAATATGCATTTTTATCATTTTATTAATAAGCGATTTCGATTTTTAGACCCCTTAACCTGCCCCCAAACCTAAACCTACCCATTTTATAGCGATATATAAAGGATATAAAACGCAAATGACCGATATACACACGAAAATAAAACTTTTAGTAACAATATAGCATTAAAATATATTTATAGTCGCTAATTCCACTCCTACCTATAAGCCTTAACATTTCTGTACAGTATAAGAAAAACATGACAGACAATGCAATTAATGTTACAATCATTTATTTGTTGCAAAAATGTCAAAAGCAGTACTAAAAGTAATCCAAAAACCTACCCAATTTATAGCGAATATGCATTTTTATCATTTTATTAATACGCAATTTAGCTTTTTAGACCCCTTAACCTACCCCCAAACCTTAACTTACCCATTTTATAGCGATATATATAAAGGATATAAAACGCAAATGACCGAAATATGCAGGAAACTAACCATTTTATTAACAATATAGCATTAAAATATTTTTATAGTCTCTAATCCAACTCCTACTTATAAACCTAAACATTTCTGTACAGTATAAAAAACATGACCGACAGATAAATGCAATTACAATCATTTATTTATTGCAAAAATGTCAAAAGCAGTACTAAAAGTAATCCAAATGATGATGCGTTGGACCCGCAGTCCTCTCTGGCGGAATACAGTAGTTTTGTGTGATCCAGAGCAGAATTTATGTTGTTAATCGCCGAAAATATTATCCAGATAATTTTCCCGATCCACTCCGTGAACTCGTGAAGGAACGCGCGCATCATTCAAATACACCTCACCAGAAACACGGCATGTCGCAATCTGTGACGAATACAGGCGAGAGCCAATGAGCGTTCAATTATCCTGCCGTAAAACCTGTCGTTTGAAGCGGCAACATTTGAATTTGTAAAGAGCGCATCAGTCAGCGTGGGCTTTGATGCTCACGGTCACTGGACTCACTGCTCGGGATGGAGAAGCAAGCAGATCACCAAAAAAGGCTTGGATTTGGGTCTGTTCCTCGCAGTCCTATGGATTCAGAAGATTTGGATTACAGCGCACTAATAAAATTGTTTCATTTCTCAATTATGTTGCGTTTTTGGTGTATTCTATAGTTCTATTGTCAGTCACAGCATGTCGGAGAAAATGCCTTTTGTGGCCCATGGCAATCAAAGTAAACATTACATGACAAGTAAAGGTTAAACGATTGCAGAAATGTTATTTATTTTAAGGTTTAAAGTGAAGTCGTGTTTAACATTACGTAGGCTATTCTTGGAAACGAGCTGGCAGCAGAAATCACAACAAAACGAAATGTTATCATTTCATAAGTAAACAATTTAATAATGCAATTGAAAACAAGTTAATTCATATGACAACTAAAAACTAATAAAATTAATGCCGCGATTTCAATATTCATAAGGATTAATTTTTAGGTGTCGTCAATACGTCAGTTTTGTACGTTAAAATGCTGAAGTATTTGTACATTTAGAGGCTGAAAATACGTCAGTATTGTACGTTTTAGTGCCTGTAAAAACGTAAGTAAATGTATGTTTTATAGAACCACATTTTATGTAAAATACATACGAATTATCATGAGATCACGTTGCAGCGAGCGAGACACAACAAAAACACAGCTCCGATCACAGCGTCCTCCATCCTCCTGTTAATGTTGTTTTTCTTTGTTTTCGTTGTTGAACGCCGCACACAAATGACGATGCTGTCGACCGGTTCCTAGTACACACTGTCGGTGCGAATGCAACCCTTTAAATGGTACTGGGAAATAGTTAGCGCAAAATCGTCCCAGTACTTTAGTACTGTACATTTAGTTCTGGAACTAAACCGGTGCGAAAGGCCCTATTGACACTCTATCTACAATCTCAATTAGGAGTGTCAATGGTCCATTTGAGAGATGCACTTATAAGTCTGCGATCCGCCGTAAAGCAAGAAGAAGACGCCTCACGCGCTCAGGAGGACGCGCTGCCGCTCAGGACAGTTCGAACAGTTCGGACATTGCGTGAATCAGAGGTAAAATACAATATAAATACTGTTCAGTTTCTTGCACAGACCGATCGTTTTGTGTCTTTACACATCAATGTATCATCACGAGCCGCAGGGTTTACTTTGGTTTTGTTTGTGTATGTTTTATGACTCTCAAAGCCGTGATTCCTATCCACTGACATTATAGGACTGACAGACTGCAACGGTTTGTGTTAAAAATCTTCGTTTGTGGTCTACTGAAGAAACAAAGTCACCTACATCTTGGATGCCCTGGGGGAAGCAGATAAACATCACATTTTCATTTTTCGGTGAACTATCCCTTTAAGTTAGTTAATGCATTCTCTAACAATGAGCTATACATTTGTTACAGTATTTATCATTCTTTAAAGTTAGCTAATAAAAATACAACTGTTCATGTTAAGTCCATTAAATACCATTAACAAATGCAAGTTTTATTTGAGTAATGTATTAGTTAGGTCTGATACGGATTTTGTGCTGATGATTAATTGACATAAAAAATAATTGTAATTAATTCTTTCTGTTTTGTTTACGCCATGTACGGTCTAAGCTATTGTATAAAACAATTAGGGCTGTCGCGATTCGTCAATTTTATTCGACTTTTAAAACTCCTCGACCTCATTTTGCTCCTCGACTAACCGGCAAAATACCGGAAGTGGCGCGTTTTAAGGACGAGAATCCATAAAACACATTATTAGACTGTTTCCCAAGGCTACATGATATATTAAACTTATTTAAAAATCATAATTAAGCATAATTGTGAATTCACAAGGTAAATAACATTTCTGGTAAATACTCCTTTAAAAAGTGTTTTTTGATTATAACTTTAATATTAGTAGACTATAACACGTGGATATCGATAATGATAATTAGACGATATTTTGCTGAGTGTGTTATTGTGCTGGTACCTTAAGGACTGTCGAAGACAGCTGACTCATAATGTTTTTAATATTCTTCATATTCTGTGTGGTGGTCAGTTCATACGGATAGAAATGAATCTTTTCAAAAAATCTTCTTTAATCTTATTTCAGTCACTTTAGAGTAAATGTCGAATTGATTTTGACTTGTAGTCTGCGTGTAGCACCTGTCTGAAGAGCTCGTCGGTGTCGGTGCAGTATCTCTGCTTCTGTTCTCCTCCCTGAAGAACCACCACAGATCCAGCTGGAACATCCTTCTCAGCTTTCAGGCCTCGACACAAACGCCCTCGGTTTTCTGCAAACAGGGCGGCCGATACCCTCAGAGTATCGTTTCCCAGCCAATACACTGCCTTCCTGTCATAGACGACACAATACACACATGAAACACTGCAAATAATACTGTGCTGTTGCTCTTTCCCTTTTCTATTTATTCAACATACACACAAACTGTGTTAATGGTTGATCATTTTTTAACTACGAAGAAGTACATTGTACATAATCTTGATTAATAAAAAAATATTTTTTAAATCTGCTGAGACGAAACTAAATTCTCTGTGAGTGTCACACAGATGTTATGCAAGAGCTGGATTTGATCACATGATAACAGGAAGAATTCGCTCTGCTAATCTCTGTGCCAGAAGAGCTGAAAAACATGCAGGCAAAATTTAAAGCAATAGCTCACACAAAAATTTACATTTGCTGAAACCTTTACTCATCTTCAGGCCAGGTTTGTTTCTTCATCAGAACAGACTTGGAGAAATGCATCATAACATCACCAACGGATCCTCTGCAGCGAATGGGTGCCGATGGACTGGAGTGGTGTGGATTATTGTGATGTTTTTATCAGCTGTTTGGACTCTCATTCTGACGGCACCCATTCACTGCAGAGCATCCATTGCTGAGCAAGTGATGTAAAGCTACATTTCTCCAAATCTGAGGATGAAACGAACTCATCTACATCTTGGATGACCTGAGAGTGAGCACATTTTCAGCAAATGTTCATTTTTGGGTGAACTACTCCTTTACAGATTAAGTTAAAACTTCCCTGTCACTGATCAAAAAGCATCCATTCTGAATCAACCATCAGAATCAGAAACAGATGTTTTTCCTTTGACCCTTTTTACACCCTGAGATGTAACTATCCCATATCATAACATTAAAATCAAGCTCACACTGCTTTATCAGCAGAGTGCTTTATCACCGATAGAGCGTGTAAAGATTAACAGCCAGCAGGGGCGTCTGTATGTGGTCAAAGGTCACTCAGATTAATGTCACTGCACATTAAACCCTTTACACACTCACCCATCCTGATAAAAACTGCCATGATTCAGAGGTAACGTACAGTCAGACGGTCATTATCGCAAAATAAACCACCAGCATACGGCACATTATCCTGCTTACTACCAGCTATTTAGCAACATAAATAGTCGAACATGAAATATAATATTTGAGTTGAGTAATACTTTGGTTATTTCAGATTTGCACCGACATACAATATTAATAATTATTATTATGCAAATTTGATCACTGAATTTCACAAACGACCAATCAGAATCACATATACTAATGCGTTACGCAATAAAAGCAATTATTTTGCGAATAAATTAGAACACAAATCCAAACAGCACTGAATGAACCTCCAGTAAAACCTACTAAGAATTAAATTAAATGTACAAACTAGAAGCAGGGGTTTCTGGACATGGTATCAATGTCCAGAATAGATTTATGTTTTGTATTATCAGACTCCTTTCAATTCAGTATCATGGTATTGCTAGTGACATGAATCCTTCAGAATATGCTATACTTATAGCCAGTGTTGGGGGTAACGCATTACAAGTAACGCGAGTTACTTTTTTTCCCAAGTAACTAGTAAAGTAACGCATTACTTTTTCATTTACAAGAAAATATCCGAGTTACTTTTTCAAATAAGTACTTTTTTCCCCCCATTTATTGATTGAAAGCTCTCCTGTCCCCATGCTGAGAGAAATCAGGAGTAAGATGTTACTTTAGCTCTAGAATAAATGTGAACATGCATTCATTCATCCCCCTCACTCAAAAAAAAAAAATCAGATTTAGGTTTCCTCAATTCATAAAAAAAACAGTTAAATGCAACTCAGAATATGACTCAAAGCTGCAATAATTAAATATGTTAAATAATACAAATATCCTTTACGTATTTAATCCCATTTTATTTACCAATTTGCTGCGGACCTTCAGTGATCTAATTCAACCATACTAAAAAGCAAACATTACACACGATAAACGAACATTTCTTCTTCTTCTTT